TACGACTTTTTCTACGGGAATAGGGGTACTTGAGTCAGGCTTCAGCAAGGACTCGCTTCGACGTGATTTTTCAGGTGATGGCGGTGGCGACTTTGACTCTGACCGCTGATCACGTCGACTTTTTGAAGAGGAATGACAACTTTTTACTTTTTCCTTTTCCTTCTTTTTCGTCTCCGGTCTAAGCATAAACAAATAAATAAACATAAATAACAACAGCAAACATGAAATCTAAACGACAAAACTTCGTAAATCTGTACAACAACTGTATCGTCTGTGTATCAGTTACTACGGTTAAACAGGATTGGTTATTACCAAAAAACGCAGGACCGTAAATTAAGCATCCTGCATAATTTACAGCGAAGTGGTGGCAACATGCAGATTTATGGAAAGCAGGGCAAAAAGAAGTTTAAGTCTAAGCGATTATTTCACTGTCATCGCTATTTCAATACCTGCTCCACTCCGCACGGCCCCCTGGAAGTGTGCCGGAACGGCTAAAAACGCGAAACCGTTATCACGGCGAACACGATACAATCAGTGAACGGAGTTGCAATTCATTCCAGAGAAAGGAGAGAACCACACAGACTACCAGGGCATAAGGCCATGCCCCACGGAAGCAAGATCACCACTGCAGCATGACGTCGCGACAGCCATGAATCGAAAGGAAATGCCGCATATAAAACGATCGACTGCACGATTCGGTAAATTAAGGCAGCCTCTGCTAAGTTCGTTGACAAGAGACTGCCTCCGCTGTCATCATCATCAACAAAGGCTAAACAAAAAGGAAGTGTGCAACCGTTAGAATGTCGGCTCCCATTTTATGAATTTAATGGTATGGCATAGACCTCCATTTCCATACCATCAGCCTAAAGTACAATATTTTAAAGCAGAGTCGATATCAGCTATGGGAAAACTATAGTTTGCAGTCTCCTGTTCATTTCCCACAGAGTAGTACTCATTTTTCAACTTGGGAAAGATTGAACGAGTAACCTGATTGGGACTGTAACTCCGGACCTCTCGGTTCTACGACGCTCTATCGACTGAGCACCCGTGCTCCTTCAAAGGCTAAACAAAACCTTAAAATCACGAGGGCCAAATGAGTGACAACACACAATTTAAGCGGTATCATTCTAGTGATGTCGCGCGAATGATCATTTTATACAACACAGATTTGTCATTACCAGCAGTTTTTACAATTCATATGCATGATGCACCATTTCATTTCAAAATCACTGGCCACGCATTGCCGTAAACGAACGAACTGCATCAAAGATGCTCATTTTTATGTTTGATGGCCTTCGCTTTGCCCAGGTGATCCATTTATTTCTGTGCCAGAACAGAACAACGGTTTCTTTCGTTCATCAGGTGGTCTTGGTGGTCCTGTCACAAATGAATTCTACGCTCTTCTAATCTTGCTGTCTTGAACGCGTTTTTACCGAGTCGTGGCGGCAGCTTTGTAAGCGATAGCTGATGTAATCTCAGGCTTCATTCAGACCAATGATTTCAAAAAAGCAAAGTACTCGGTGAGGGTAGGGTCACGATCAGCTGTCAATGGCGAGTAACCTGAAACACAATCGCCTCACCCCATGGGAGTTAAATTCCTAAACCCTCACTAATACGAGGTAGATATGTGGTAGCACAAGTACTTCTTCTGCTCAGAGGACAGCTAGAATAACTTAATACATAATAGCTTTTCCTAGTACTGTGTGAATTTGGTAGTTCAGTGATAAAAGACTTAAAACTAATTTTGTAATGCTCCGTAGCGTAGTCTTTCCGCGTTTGACTGTTGACAGCCTAATCACTATCTCACAACTGACAGAATAATAACAACTAACAATGTTGCAAGCGTAAAAAATGCATAACCATTCTCATGAAAATTCAGATCGTTTTTCTAGATTAAGAATAACCCCAGTCACTCGATCCGCAGTGAGAGGTTAACAATTTAAATTTTCAAGTACACCTCTGCATCGGTTGACGAACATCATTTTCACTGAATGCATAACCGGCTTGTGATCGGCTTAGATGTCCACTGCATTCTGCTCCAACCTTAGCTAAGACGCGGAGACAGAAACGTCAGACGGTACTTCCAAAGTTCCCGATCTTCTGACTGCCAGAGTCTAAGATTCAGCAGAAGACAAGTGGAGTCTTGAGGAGATTCCTTTCATATATTTGCACCAGGTTAATCTTGGCCGATCCTTGGACCTTCTGCCGGAAAGTTTGACAAGAAACAGTTGCAAAGCCTTCCTTTCTGGAGGCATTCGCAAAACATGTCATTAAAAATCGCAGCTGTGATTTTTTCAACCCTGAGAAGCAGAAGCTGTACTCCAAAGATGTTACTATTTCGAATCATATCAAGACATATAAGGCCAGCGAATGCCCATTTCAGAGCTTGTACCCGGATTCGAAGCCTTTCACTCATGGTCCATGATTCATGACCGTAGGTAAGCATCGGGATAAAGATCGACTTAAACACTGAAACCTTAGTTTTCAGACTCAACTCTTATTTAGTCATAACGGACCGAGCTAGCACACGCAGAAGCCACGGCCTACTACAATTTGCCAGTCCATCTCTGCCTCAAATTTTCCATCACCAGTAAACATGACAAGGAGATACTTTAACTCCTCACCTATTCCATTACCGCTTCGTTAATCTGATGAGATCAACCGCCAGGAGAAGGCCTTTCGTTTTAGATGCGTTCACACGCACGCCGGTCACGTCGCACTCGGCTGCGAACCTTTCTAAGGAGCAC